GTCCACACCTAACTGTGCTGACATCATCACTGGTCCACACCTAACTGCACTGACATCACCACTGGTCCACACCTAACTGTGTTGACCTCACTGGTCCACACCTAACTGTGCTGACCTCACTGGTCCACACCTAACTGTGCTGACATCATCACTGGTCCATACCTAACTGTGCTGACATAATTGGTTCACACCTAACTGTGTTGACGTCATTACTGGTCCACAGATGCTGAAGTGCTGAGGTTTGCTCAGCATGCAGTGACCTCATGTTTGTGTTACAGCGTTGGCCAAAATTGTGGCCATTTGTTCACATTTACTCCATAGACCCACATTCATAAGAGTCTTAAACAAGGAGCATTAAATATCATTCAGTTCATCATCTCCCTCAGAGCAGGAATCTCTGGCAGGCATCCCATCACTTTTTCTTAGAATGTTCCTCATAGCAGCAAACTCGGTTGGATGATCAAGAGAATCTCTTCTATTCAGAATGGGATCATTTTCTTTATTTTAGAATCTGCTGTGCTGTTGCTGCTATTTCAAGGGGAGGGTCACATTTTGCTTGCTACAGTTATTTTAAGGCCTCTTTTCTTGTGACCACCATAGAGAACATTAGAATCCACAGGGTAGCCACAGGTTTTCTCTTCTTCAACCTAAGCAGTCTAAATTTCTGTGGAGCATTCTCAAGATAAATTTCAACCGCTTCAGGCAAGGAACTCAATCAAGACACCAGCGATCACTTTATCAATACATTCTGTTCACTGTCCAGTGTGATGAGCCGTCACATTCCCCATTTACAGGAGGATCTGTCTACTGAAATAGTTGGGGACAGCTTCAGTCGGCTTCTCAAGTTGACGGTGATCTGTTGATGTAGTTGGTTTCGGAGTTAACCTAATTTGCTGTCAATTGGCCAGACTGTTCTCATCTCTCTAGTCTGCTTGAGTCATTTTGAACTTTGAGTCTTCCGTTGGACACCTCTGTTCTACTCATCCTCTTGACATGTGCACATTTTGTAATAAGTTATTCCGGTGTTCTCAAGGTCAGTGAACTCGGAATGGAACGGGACTCAGTAAGCATCTCCCTCTCCAATATTTCTGCAGTGATTTTGCCAGAGTTTCACATGGGTCTTACTGAGTCTTTAGCTGAAGTACTGGTCACATACTTCATAAAATCTCCCTTTTGGAAAAAATACCTATAGGATATAGGTTGGCACAACTGCACAGGGCATTTTTTTCTGGTCTTCCTTTTCTTGCAAGGTTCTCAAGTTTCTCCCAGAAGCCCTTTCTTGCCCTCTCATGAGCCCTGGAGAGAACCCATTCCCCACAAATAATATTGGATACTCTAGTTCTGCAAATATTTTTGCTTTTAAAGGACTTTTGACTCCCAACTTTTGGCTTTCTTCTCTATAAGCGCTCTTGTCTTGTTCTGTTAATGAACTTGACCCTTCACAGAGTTGATCTCTAATTTACTCTCTGCCCATTTTGCACGACCAACTCCCCAGTCTCTAATGTTCCCAGCGCTCCTGGCACCTACAAAGTTGTTTTGAAAGACACTTTGGGAACCAGCACACCTGCCGTTCCTTGTGGTTGAAAGGAAGCCATCGCTGGGGATGGCTGCACCTCCTGCTTACAGGTCACATAAATAATACCCCCCAATATCTGGGAGGGTAAATCACAGCGAGTGCTTTTCCCCTACAGAGCCATCATGAAATACTGTCTAGGATTCAAGCATAGAGAGGGAAATTGCTTGCAGAAATGAGAAGATGGGCTTTAAAATCGGCCATACGATAAATAAGGATTCAGGTCATTGAAGCTTGCGCTTCTTGGTATCCCTGGGCCTGGACTGTACTTGGGGGATTTGCATCTGTGTGACCTTCAGTCTGGTGCCTCTGGAACAGCACCCTGTACCTAGTGAAAGATGCAACCTTATTCCAGGGTAGGAACTTTCCAGATAAGAGAAAGAAGTGACTACGAAATGATTTCCTAAAGGGAGAATTGCTTTACTGTGGGGACACCGATTCTTTAGATATTTTGAATATGGAATTGAAGGAGTGACCACTCTATTAGGAAAGGAAAGAGCATAGTAATGACGATGCTGTCACTGGCATTTCCTGTCGTTTTGCTCTGCTTCAGAATTCCAGCCTCCTGGCTGAATTCTCATGTAACCTTCTGATGTGTATTGCATCATTATCATTCTTTGAAAGATGGGGACACAGGCACAGAGGGGTTCTTATTGAGGACCAAGCTAAGAGGTGACAGAACTGTCCATGGCTGGTGAGCAGTGTGGCTCCAGTTCCAGTGTCCACACTAGGCCATCAGCCACACGTTGTAAGCACACACTTGAAATATGGGCTTTCCAAATTGATATTTTATGTGCAAGGTATGCATGAAGATTTTAATTCATGGGACATGAATTAGCTCATTAATTGTATAGTCATTTCACATTGAAACATATATATATATATATATTTAACATGTATCTACAAATCCTTAGCTCATTTATTTTTGTTTGTTTGCAATGTACCCATGAGACAACTTAAAATTGCATATGCAGTTTGTATTATATTTCAGTTCATAAGCTTCAAGACTGTTGATTAACAAAAGCTTAAGGCAAAGAAAACCATTGAGTCTTAGTGAAATCCATAAAACTACAAGGGAATGGAGATGGACCCTGGCAGAGAGGTATGGTGGACTGAGTTGGGCTCCATTGAAAAGGAGACAGTTTAAATGAAACTGGAGGCTGGAAAGACCAGAATCATTTTGAGTGACTTAGAATGGGGTTAAGTGCCCCCTTGAACTTAACGGGAAATATTTGGTCAAAAGTGAGTTGATTTTGCAGACACCTCAGAACACTGATCCTTTACCAAACTAAAAATCCATAAGTGAATGACCAAGGGACAGGGCTACTTAAAACAGTGAGTTCCAGGTGATTCTACAACGGAAGGACCAGGGAGGCAGGAAGCAAGATTTCCAGCCAAATCAAGTGGGATCATGTGATCACATTAGATAAAGCACTGACTCAGACCAGCCCCTCTGCTCATCCAGGGTGATCTTGAGCCCAGCTGGTCGGCACCCACATGCTTGCGCTGACATCAGTCCATGAAGTGCAACCAGACCTCTGTATCCTCCAGTTCCGCATGCACAGAGTCAAGCAGCTCTGCACCCAAACTGTTTCTGAAACGCTTGAATCTGTACAGAAGTTTTACTGTCATCGTTCCCTATGTTACCCAGCACTATAGCCATTTGCATAACATTTACATTGTATTAGGAGTTATGCATCATCCAGAGATGATTTAACGGGTTCTTACTGGAAGATACTCATAAGTCCTATGCTAATCTTCTGCTGCCCTTTCATATAAGGGACTTGAGCTTCTTCAGAGTTTGGTATCCACTGTGGTTGTTGAAACCAATCTACCAAGGACTCAGAGGGACAATTGTAAATCTATACCAGTAAGAAACTGACAACTGGTCCTTCAGGTTTTTCCATAAGTCAAGGCCTGACAAGAGCATGCTCCATCCCTAAATACAACTGGCTATTAAAGGCATCATATCAGTTGTAAAATGTTTGGAAAATCACCCATGCTTATGGGACACCAATCCCTAGCGTTATACAATTTCTATCATCCTGTGACCTGATTGGAGAAAGGTGTGTTTTGTGGAATCCTGTTCAGAGAATGGAATATATTCTTTAAAGGAAGTAATTCAGAAGCTAGAAAGATGGATCCGAAGCTAACATGCTTGACACATAAGCATGAGTACTGGAGTTCAGATACCCAGAACCGATGTAAATACTGGGTAGGCATGGCAACCCACCTATAGCCCCAGTCTTGGGAGGTAGAAGGTAGACAGGGTCCCGCAGAACAAGACAGCTAGCAAGGCTGACCATCTTGGTGAGAACTGGGTTTTATTCAGAGAGGCTGCCTCCGTGAGCAAGGTAGAAAAGGTACTGAAGATGATGCCTGATGTCAACCTTGGGTCTCCACACTCACAGGTATATATGTGCATGTGCATCTTTGCATGCATGTGTTCACACACATACAAACAAACCCACCACATACATACATACACATGCAAAAAGTGGGAACAGATTTAAAATATAATATTAAAACATCCACTTGGAGTAGAAGCTGTGAGCTCAAAAGACTTCAAAGCAGTAGATGTTCTGCCTGAAATGAAGAATTACATGAACGAGATAAAAATAAAACATATACCTACTGACGCAAAAAGAAAAAGAAAAACACAACTCTCACTTCAAAGGGGTTCAGAGACAATTTATTCTGAAGCCACCTATGAGTGACCATGGCTCCCAGGAACACAGATTTAGGTTACCCTAAATTACTTGTTCCAATGTGGAAGCAGTGTCATGATGTTTTTATAGTAACAGAGCAAAGAAAGCCATAAATCAAGATACTTTTAAAGTGCCCCGGTGGAGACATTAGATAGGTGGGCAAGACAGGGCAGGGCAGGGCGGGGCGGGGCAGGGCAGGGCAGGGCAGGACAGGGCAGGGCAGGGAGATCACTCATATGGGCCTCAGGTGCTTCTGCTTCTGTGTTAAGCTTTTTTGACTGGTCGGAAACTAATTCTCTGTTTGTACATTCCAAAGGATTTAAATAATTAGGCCGGGCAGAGAGGATGACAGGAAAAGGCTGTGAAGGCAGCTAAAATTGCCCCAAAGTAATTTGGCTCTGAATCTGCAATATACCACCCTTTCGACGATCTCTGAGGTTCTAATCCAGGTAATCAGCCTTGCAGAAGGGTCAGTGCAAGCAGCTGCTTCTTTCCAGAAGCCTCTGTCCACATACCTAATGCTCCAAAAGAGGAGGACCCAAGAAGAAGAACATGGCAGAGAAGAGTGGAGTGGCCACTGTGCTGGGGAAGGACTCTCAGTCTGCAACACTGGCATTCTTGGATGCAGTCAAGTACGCGTTGTTCCTAAGCTCACAGATGGATGAAATATCTGGGAATCTCCTCCATGCAGAAGCAGGTCAAGGCTTGACAGCAGATTTTAAATTGGTCTGGCCTGGACCAATTTAAAAGTAACCATCAGTGCTTTGAACAGTAACAATCAGATGTGGAAACTCAGAGAGACAACTGAAAGGAAGACACGGGAGTTGTGGGAAAGATAATAATAACCCAGGAAAGTATTTTGGTTGTGTCGGCCTTGGAGTTAGTGGTTGAATCCAAACCGGCAGAGGTTCCTGAGAACAGGGCCACCACCTGATGAGTGGGCTACAGGTTAGTACGGAGCACCTAAAATGTCTGGTGCACATTTGGAACATCAGTGTTCTTCATGAAAGGGGGGCAAGAAAGAAATTTATGAATTCTAAGACTTTGGAGGAGGAATTGCCCAGGTCTCCCGGTACCAGGGACGGATGTATCCCTACACCCTTACAAGATAGCCTCTAGCTCTGTAGCTCAGCCTGATTGGCACTCCCTTTGTAGGCTAGGCTGGCTTTGAGTCCTCCACAGCCCTTTCCCCAGCCTCCTGAGGGCTGAGATTCCAGGTAGGAACCTCTTTTTAGACTTTGAGGGTTTTTGTCCAGCCATTGCTGATTTTTAGCTACTTCTGTAACCTATCTCGTCCTGAGTTCTTGTTCTAGAAGTTCTCTCTGTCCGCTAACCTTTTCTCTTTCATCACTGTTTTAGAATATATTTTGTTCTTTGGGCACCTTCACATATGTCTACAGTGATCTCCACCGTGCCCATTCCCAACTCTCCTGCTCTGCCGGGAACATGCCTCCCAGCACCAGCCCCCTCCACTTCCATATCCTCTTCTCCCCTGCACCTTCCCCAGGTCCAGTTAGTGGAGCGTGCTAGAATGTTAGCTGATCTTGGACAGGTCTTGTGGAGGTACCTAGAGCTCCTTTGATGTCATGAGTGCGGTAGGTATGTTGTGTCCAGGAGACATCATTTCATGGCGCTCCTTCATCCCCACCCTCTGCCTCCTACATTCTTTTCCTCCCTCTTTGATAATGTAATCTGAGCTTTGGGGAGGGAGTTGATGTACAAGTTCATGTTAGGGCTGAGTGCTCACACACCTCTCAGCTCCTTGACCAGTTATGAGCCCCTGATTAACTGCTGGGCACTGCAGCGAGAAGCTTCTCTGGCCCGAGCAGCGGCTTTCTTTAACTCTTCCTTCTGCATTCTTTCCTTTACCCAACCAGACTTGGCTTCACCGCCGATCCCTGGCACAAATGAGGTAGGCTGACATTGGCGCAGCCAAGGAGAGTCCACAGTGGGAGGAAACGGGGTATGGGTGGTCCTGATGTAGACCCGAGGTTACCACGTGACTAGTGCGCTGAAAAAAAGAGTTCTCCAGGAAGCCTGCGGGAAGAAGGACTCTTGGCTGTGAGTCACTTCTCTGCTTGGCCCCCACTGCTGACTCTGTTTTCTCTGAGCTGTCCTTCCGTTCTCAGAACCAAAAGGGGGCATTCCGAAGGTGCCTTGGCCCGAGGCATCCATCCTCAGAAGCAATTCTTGCTCGAGGTTGGGACAGAGACAGGGCCAGCAGGTTAATGGAATAGGGCTCTGGATCATCTTGGCTTTGGTGCCGTTCTCTGGGACTCCCATTAGCATGCCCTTGCTTCCCCTGCACTGCTATAACCCCTGGGCCACCCACACCAGCTCCCGTTCCACAGCACAGCACTGCGGCCAGTGCCCCACATAAGGATGGAGGATAATCGATTATGATGAACTGAGAGTGTTGATTTTTAAGAGTTGGGGGCTCCTGTTTCCACGTTCCCTCTTTCTTTGCTTGGCCGACAATCATTTTGAAGTGCAGTCTTTTCTTCCTTCCTTCGTTTTGTTCTCTCCGAGCAGTACACTGTCTTCGTGGTTTTTGCCGCTCTCATTCACAGTGATTTCTGCTTAACACCCCGAGAGATCTTCACTTTTTCTGTCTATGGAGGCCTGTCCTTCCCCGGGAACGCAGACGAAATGACCCGGTATGGGCTATGAGGTAGGGCTGGTTTGTGTTCCTGCTCAGTCGCTTTCGAGAGCTCCACACTTCTTTTCTTGTTAAACCCAAACTCGACACTGGAATCCCCACTGTAAAATAGGAATACCATTCTGGGAAGAAAAAATCAATGTAACAGATAACACGGAAATGTCTAACTTCCCTCTAATCAAAGCCATGGAGAGTACAACAATAGCTCATGTTTAAACCACCAAACCTGCAGCAACATACATCAAAGATCACATGTGCGGAATAGATGGGTTCTTTTGAGAAAGGATGGCATATAGTCCAGGCTGGCCTCAAATTCACTCTGTAGCCATGGATGACATTGAGCTTCTCCTGCCTCTGCCTCCCAAGTGCTGGGGTTACTGGCATGTGTAAAGAACTACAGGGCCAGAGTGCTTCTATACACTGCTTGCAGAAGTCTGAAACCACTTAACATTTCTGACAAATGATATGTAAAACCCATGACTGACTTTTGAAACGTGAGTGGAGTTGACAGCGTCTTCCCTGGATCATTTTCTAAAGTTGTCTTTACAGTGCACAGCAGAGACAGAGATAATGGAAACAAAACAAACCCATGCCTCAACGAGCCTCCTGCATGGGTCACACTAGACCCAGTAGTCCACAGGCTCTATTTCATTTATCCTGTTGGGTGAATATTTTCCTAATCCATTTTATAGGTTAAGAAGCTGTAGCAAGACAGGCGAAGTGAGTGCTTTAGGGTAGCAAGCATCCTGCAGATGGTTGGGTCTGGTTCCAGACTAGGCAGACTCAGCAAACAACCCTGCTCTTAGGCCCCATTCTGCACTGCCACGTGGTACTTTTATTAAATGCCTCTTCCACGTACTTACTGCTCCCTTACTGTACTGTGCCAACTTAGGTGGGAGACTCCAGTCTTGACCTTCAGCCACTAATCTAGTGTTGAGAGTGTTAGGTCGGCCCTCTAGCTGCTTTCTTCTTTCCTGCCTAGAAATCAGGTCACACCCTGCTAGAGCTCTCTCTGGGATGGAAGCATTCTGTGCCCCCTGGCTTTGCATCTGCAAGATTAGTTTATGGTTCTATCTAGTGCCATCTCTGTGTCCCATGACACATAGGACAGACCAGGGTGGATTGTGTGGTATAAAGTTTATCTCCCATCAAGAAAAATCATGAATTAGAACCTTCTTTTTCTCCAGATTTGAGGAAAACCTCTCTGTCACTTCAAGGCCTGGCCCTGCTGCCTAGGTATGATATTTTCTCTCTCTTCCAATGGTCTCCCACGTCAAGGCTTGGTCCTGCCTGCCCACTATGGTGATGAGACTCTCTCTCTCTCTCCTAATCAAGTGCATTTAACATTGTAATTTCAGCTCAGCTCCTTTCCTGAATGTGTCCTTTCTCTTTTATGTCAAGTTGTAGCAAGGATGTCTGATAAATATCTGCTAAGGAGGTGGACTGATTACATATATTTATAAATTGTATATGTGAATGTGTTAGGGTTCATGGGTGTCTTAGTCTCTGTATGGAGGTCAGAGGACAATCTGCAGAATTCAGTTCTCTTCTGCTTTGTGGGTCAATAGTTCTTGGAGGGTGTGTGTAGGTGGTGACATTGAACTCAGGTCATCGGGCTTGGCAGCAAGTACCTTTACTCAATGAGCCATCAATCAGGCCCTCATTTCTGTGCAAATCACAGCCTCTACTAGAAATGACCTCGCTCTCTTCCAGTGAGTACCTGGCAATCATCTCTGCCACTTCCCCCACCATCACCACCTCACCCTCCTCCAAAAGTGACAGCTCTCATGATGACTGGTCATGTGTGGTCCTTTCCTTCCTAAGCCCTGCAACAAGCTGGTGATAATTATCTTGCACTTTGCACGGCTGTGCCTCGTCTATTCCAGCTGTCAGAGCTGTGCCCTCCGATACAAGGTCAGGTCCAGCTAGGCATGGTGGCACACGGCATGGTGGCACACATCTGTAATTCCAGAAGCTGCGAAGTTAAAGCAATAAGTTCATAGCAAAACCAGCCTGAGGCTCTGTAGTAAGACCTAGTCTCAGTGAAAAAATACTTCTAGTCTCTTGTTAAATGCTGCACCCTCATTTGTGCCTGAGACAGGCCTGTGCAGAGTGTGAGGCCAGGAGTGATTGAAGTGTGTAAATACGCAGGGCTGCAGGTAAAGCATGCCCCCACGGAAGCTCCTACAGAGAACAGTCTTAGCAGGGCATTGCTTCTGTTAGTACACCACGCTTTTTAAAATAATATTTGTTCTCTCTTTGTTCCTCTGTCTTTGCAAGATTAGGAAAACAGTGATATTGAGTTCTTCCTGCTAAATCCCGCGTTGCAATTATTATGAAATCTGTAAATAAGATTAAGTGCATCTTCTGCACTCAACTATTCTAGGATTATTATTCTTATGGCTCTGAATTTTCATTCCTAGAATGAGTTTTCTCTGATAAAACTTCTCTCTCTCTCCCTCCCCCCGACCTCAATCTCAATCCAATCTTTCACTCTCTCTCTCTCTCTCTCTCTCTCTCTCTCTCTCTCTCTCTATCTCTCCCCGACATGTGCAGGCCAATGCTCTAGCCTGAAAGGTCCCCTTTCCTCACCATATGGGTTTTTGAGTATTGGGTAGATTAACTGCATTAACCATCTAGAGATTTGTCTCACTGTATTTCTCTTTTACTTACTCTTTCTGGTTTTTTTTTCACCTTTTGAGGGGGAAAATATTCTGCTAGCAAAATTCATGTCAATTGGTCCCAAAGTGGTTTCAACTTCATTTTCGATGTGACTGATTTTTGTACTCATGTGTACTCGTCATCGGCTCCAGGACTTGTCATTGTCACGTGTTTATTTTCCAATTTACTGCTAAACTCACTTTGCCCATGTTAGCAGGAAACATAGTTCTACCCCAAAGTCTCTCCGTGGTCTGCACCAGATTGCTTCCAAACTTCGAAAGTGCCCTTAAGTCAGCCTGACTCAGATGAACAGGGAACAGTATAGCCCAGCAGTGGGGACAGGGGTAGGAGCGGTCTATCCTCCAGAGAGTCCAGTATGGCAGTGTTGGGAAGTGGGAGCATCTGGCGCTGATGGACTCTAAATAGAATTGTTTAGGTCACTGGGGCGTGGCCTCAAGAGCAATGATGTGTATGGGAAGTTGGTTCTTTCAAGCGACTGTTGTAAACTCATGACGGGGCCCTTCCCGCGTGATTTCCCAACAGGCACATCTTCATGCTATCGTTTTGACATCCACCATGAAGTCCTCACCAATGTAGTCACCATGCTGCGTGGACTCAACACTTCCAAACCTGGCAGGGAGCTCAATGACATCTTTCTAAAGTATCAAGCTAGCCTTGGGCATTTTGTCATAGTAACAGAAAATGAACTAATCCTTTCTGCTTGATTTAGTTTTCTGAGATCTCTTTGGTTTGTAGTGTTCATTTAATCAAATAATTGAAGTTTTAATTAAATTAGTCAAATTAATTGAGTTAAAGCATTTGCTCACTGTTCCCAAGGCAAAGCTATTGTTTGAGAGGGATCGTATCTGAAAAGACTTCCAGACTGGGACTGGCGCAGTAAGGAGGCTGGTTTTCTTCTGTGAACCAGTCAAACCTTGTGCTGCCTTCGTCCACTGCAGATCCCCATGTCTGCCACAGTGCCGGCCACCAGACTTCTTTCTGGCTAGTAGTTCCAATCTGAAGTTTATCATTCTATGCCTGAGTGTTTATGGTTTTGTTCTGTGTTGTTTGCAGTGCTGAGAATCAAACCCAGACTTCGTGAATGATAGAAAATGCCCTACCATTGCGCATTGAGCATCCCTCTTCTCTGTGTAATTGGTGGGATTTGGTATGAATCTGTCTTAACCCAATAGTACACTCTGCCCTTATTACACCCACCCCCACCGCTGCTCCTGATGTCAGTGTTAGCCATAGCCAGAAAAATCCTTGCATGATAGCCAAACATAATTTATTCCTTCTCCATGAAGGCATTTGTTTGTCTTAGAGCTCTTCTAGGAAGGTGTGGGCTTCTTCCAGCACTATTTTCTATGTATACCATAGTAAAGAACGGCCAATAACTTTTTTTTAACAAACAGCATTCAGTCATGTGTGTGGGGCACAGAGCTATGTATTCTGCATATATAGATCCTCCTATTACCCTAACTTTGTTTTGTAATTGCACACACAATGCGACAAAGATGTCATGCACAAACCCACAAGGACACACTGACCATTTCAAACAATGAAAAATTGGGGTTGGAAAATAAGCATACGGAATATCTACATCCTTAGAGAGAGAAAAAAAACGTCTGTTTAATAGAGTTTGGTTCCCATGTGGCTGGATGGGACTTGCTAAGTATGTGCCCTGAGTCACTGGGTGGAAACCTGGGCACATCTGCTATCCTGAGAACCCCATTGGGCAAAACCGCTGGCAGTTCCCATTATATGGATGTTTGGGGGTCACCCATGGCTAGAATTAGTGACCTCACTGGTCTCTCTTGAGAATGAACCTTACAGTCTTATCTTACTTCTGAGGTGATGGGTCTAAGAGTGGAAGTTGAGATTTCCTTCTGTGGCCACCGAGTCCACCCATTTCTCTTAATTCTCTTTGAGTTCTTCAATCAAGGTGCATGCATTAAAACATCCATCTAATTGGAATTTTATAGTTTACAATTTTACCAGCACACATATAAAACTGCAAAATAATAAATATACTTGCTATCAAGCAAGAAGTGATTTGATAATGATGAACAGCCTTGGAAAGAGGACCTGTGAACAAGTTTTGAAATTCACTGATTCTTAAAAGAAAGAAAATCCATTTCAAAGATACCAGATTGAGCAATGGGCATCTATAACCCATCACTCCCCTCAAAGGCTCAGAGGCCAACACAGAAGAGGGAGCAGGAAGACGATAAGACAGAGGATTTCTGCAATAAAGTAGGACATGGCAGGGCTGTTGCATGTATGAACACATGGCAGCACATGATCCATCAAGCCAATCAAAATCCCAACATGGAGATGGGAATGGTGCATGAATTTCCTCCTCTATCTGGGTGGTCTTTGGCAATTGCTGGCTGCGGGGGAGTCAGCTTTCTTCAGAAATGAGGTACCTGAATGAGTACCCATGCTCTGGTGGATGGTTCTACACCCATACCCATACTGGCAGTGTCAAATGAACTCAGTGGGTTTTCACGAGTGAGAGAGAGCACACGAAGCTAGGAGAGAAAAATGGTGGTGGGGATAAAGGGAGAATTGGAAGGGAGGGGACTTAGGATAGATTTGATTAAAAAATTAATATGCATGTATGGAATTTTTAAACAATAAAGAATATTGTAAAATTAATCAATTATAAGAGGTAGCAGCTTGCCTTGCTAGGACTGTGTGATGAGTCCATCAGATATTAGCAGCTCCATTTTCACTTCTGCCTTCTCTCTCTTCCCGCTCTTAATCCAGGTATTTATTCCGTGAAGTCATGATTTAAGTGGCACCTCTTTGTTAGCAGGAATTACTTTGCATTATTCTGTGTGCATACCTCCGTACTTTCACACTGGCAGATATTTTGATTAGCTGCTATTAGAAAACTGCTTCTGTGCTCGTACCCCATCCGATGAGTCATCAGAGAGAATCGAGTGCAGCCCGTGGCCTCGCAGGGTCACAAAATGAGAACAAGGCATGAGATGCTCAGGCTCTGTGGGTTGAGCAAACAGGTCTGCAGGAGACAGAAGCTGATGGCTTTCTGAAAACCGGGAGGACGCAGAGTGGGGCAAACAGAGGGAGCCTCTGGATTCTCCATGTGATGACAAGGACAGTTTTTCATGTGGTAGGAAAAGGCTGTCGCGTTTGGCACAGCAGGGGAGCCTGATCGTTGTCAAAATGACACCTGCTTGATTGGAGCTGTCCCACCTGAGTCCAGGTGGCAGCTTCGAGCAGCGGTTGAAGAAGACGGCCTTTATGAGACACCAGAACGGGATCACTGCTTGATCTCTAGATGTCTCGCTGAACAGTAAGAGACAGGAGAAAGATAAAGTGTCTTTCTTAGCCTAGATTTCATAGCAGTCTTCCTACTAAGGGAATAACATGAGGTCGTGCTTAGAATCAATGTAAGGCGGGGTAGATGACTCAAAATCCGCCCCCAGGGATAAACTGCAGGGCCAGGCGTACTTGGAGTCTGTGTCTGGGCAAATGTGCTTGCTGCTTAGAGGACAGGACAATAGAGAAGATGAAGAATCTTGAAAATTAACCAATTTATAAACATGCCAGAGATAACGCTGTCCCACATTCATAGTCTTCAATGGATTAATATTTCACTGAAGCAGAGAACTTAACCATGTCCTGGAGACTGTACAAAGCATTCTGGTCTCATGTAAGCCTATTTCCTGATCTATTAATTAGGAATTAGCACTTTCATCTTTTAGGGAAGATGAGGCTTGCGTAAGTAGAAGAGCTTGCTTAAGATCCAAATTCCCCATTTTGATTGAGTTTTGTTTTCATGGCTGCTTTAAAATGAAATGTTATATGTAATTACTTTGGTGCCTCAGTAGGTTGGTAAAATCTTTAAGATCACATTGGCTTAAAATGCTAAAAACATAAATTTTAGGTATTTTTCTGGAGCCATTATGAAGCATGGGCCACAGGACACGAAGTGGGAAATTTATGAAGATTGAGATGCTTGTAGGCAGAGCACAGGAGGGAAACATTTGCACAGGTCTCTTTGGGGAGGTCAGCGTCTTGCACTTGACAGACAACTTGTCACAGAATAATTTAGGCCACTGCTATTCGAAATATACAATATTTGCCTTCTCTGTGTAGCTTGGGTTGAGGTTCTTTTTAAAGGGGGGGTAACTTACAAGCTGAACTTCCAACCTCAAGTCAACCTCAAGTTAACACAGTGGTCACCTACTCCCACTCAACAAAGTTCTTAAGTATTTCAGGAACTAGATTTTTTTTGATAAATTGTCCAACCTCCTTCTTATGTAGGCTGAGTGTCATATTTTCCACCTTGTTATAATCCAACATCCTCAGAATGAAGTAAATTCAGTCAACATTAGTAAAACATTAAGTTCTTTTGAAATGATTGTGGGTGGAGAGTTCAGTGTGGCTTTCCTGGTGATGCCCAAAACACACAGCTCTAGCTGTGATGGAAAGAACGGGTGCTGTCTCCCTGAGGTCACTCTCCAGG